TTGTTGGCTGTGTTCGTTGCATAAGAATTCTATCTCCTACAGAAGTTCAGCAGATGAGTGAGGAAGGAATGAAAATTCTCAACAGTGCCACAGCACAAGGCATCACTGGCACCAACGCAGGAGGCGACCATGCTTGAGATGGTCGTTGTTGTTGATTCTCTTCACTGTGCTGATCTGATTTTGTGGCTACAATTAAAACATTACAGTCGGCTCAACTTTACTTGCTCAGACTTGGAAAGGACTTGACGTTCTTGTCATCAGTAAACCCGCGGCTTCGGTAGGTGATTATGGTATTTTCCTTTTCAGCTTCCACTTTTTAGAGGTAAAATTTTATGCAAGGATAAGTAAGAGTAGGCTAGATGAGTAACCCTTTTAAGCATATAAGAACTCGTGTGATTGATGAAGACTTGCAGTATGATGAGTAAATACATTGGAAAGATTCATCGTGCCCTGCTTATTCATTCTTCAAGACTTGTTATGGCATCATATCATGTTCATGGACAAATGCAGCAGCAGCAATTGAGTTAGTAAGCACCACTGGATCAACCAATTCATGTACTGTCAAACCGGAGGCAAACAACTTAACTCCCAGAGCTTGTAAATTTCAACCATTACAAAAGCCATGATGCAGGGTCAGTTCTAAGACTCTTATTAAGTGTTAAAATATTTCCATAGTTCCATGCATCTTGGTGCACTGAAAGCTGCGGGTGAATCCCTAGTGGCGTCTACAGCAATTGCCATCCGAATTACACTGAAGATCTACTGCTTTAAGCGCATTCCGTTTTGTTCCATGTAATTACATCATGATAAACAATATTGCAGGTAAATGACCAGAGTTCACTAAAGAAATTAGTAACGGGCAGTAACCGTATAAAGAAGAACTTTAATACATAATGAGAGTGACATCAAGATCAGCAAACGCTTTCTTTAATACATGTAAAAAGAATGGCACTAAATTTTTAGAATTATAAAAGTGATATAATGAAACATGGAAGAAAACAAGGAACAGGGACACGGTTATTCAGTGTCAAACACAGTGAAAATAATCACACAGGAAGGCATCGGAGATTGACAAGATCAAAGCCAGAAGCAGAAAAGGGATGGCTGCATTTCTTGGATTAGCATTTTGATGGAAGAATGCCATCCAATGGATTACCACTAGCCAGTTATTCACACAATTATAAGGGCAATGTGCCAAGCACCAAAATTCAAAGATGATATATTAGATTGTCACCATTATTAAGGCCATTAAAATTATAGTTTTTTTTTTTTAATAAATAATGCCTGAAATTGCACCGAGCCCTTTGACTCAAGTGGCAATAGCCACTCACGGTGCACTTTTCCCCTCCCCCTGAGTTGGGTTCGACCCAGCCCTTGTAAAAACCTGTTCAAAAAAATAATAATAATAATGCCTGAAATTATTAATTTATTAACTAACTTTAATTTATTAATTAATAAATATTAATTATTTTATCAATTATTACTTAATAGATATAGTTAGTAATTATTTTTATTTGTCAAATTAAACAAAATAAATATTTTAAAGATGATATTTTACAATTTTAATGACAATAACATTATTATTGGTATTATTGGTAGTCATAACTGCTCATTAAATTGCCCAAAGAAACGATCACATATTAGATACTTCAACAAATTCAAGAATTTACTATGGATTTTATTTCTTAGGTTAAATATTTTTTTTTGGTCCCTTTACTATAGAAAAAGGTCCTTTTTTAGTCTTTGTACCCAAAAAATCCCATTTTTGATATTTACTGTTTGAAATCCAACCAATTTTTAGTTTTTCCGTTAAATTTTGGCTAATGTGGCAAGTTAATTATCGAAAAAACTTATTTTTTTCTTTATTTTAATTATGTGAAAAATCCACCTAGTACAACTTGATGATATGGCTAAATTTTGTTTGTTTAATTTAGCTTTGAAAATCATTTAATTACATAATTATCATTATAAATATTTTAAAAATTATTTTGTGATTAAAAATACTTACCCTTAATTACTTATTTGCTCCCATCTTCTTCCTTCCTCTAGCCTTCCTTCTTTATTTTTTTAACCTTTTAGATCTCGCTAGGATCTTTGCGAACCCAATGTTGGGTTTGCTTGGGTTCGTGATGAGAAACTCAATGCTTGGGTTCGTGATGAGAAACCCAACACCTAGGTTCACGTGAGTTCGTGACGCGAACCCAGCGCCTAGGTTTGCATAGGTTCATGACGCGAACTGAGCACCTAGGTTTGCGTGGGTTCGTGACGTGAACCCAGTGCCTAGGTTCGCGTAAGCATGGGTTCGTGATGCGAACCCAATGCCTGGGTTCGTGTGGGTTCATGATGCTAACACAACACTTGGGTTTGCGTCATGAACCCAGCACCTGGGTTCGCATCACGAATCCAACGCTTGGGTTCGCAAAATGAACCCACGATCTAGGCTAGGTTCATGACGAACCCAACTCCTAGTTTCATCTACTGATTTTGTTTGAATGCTAGAACTTTGTATTTTGTATTTCATTTTTCGTTTTTACTGTCTTTGAACATGAATGATGTCTATTTAGCTTTTGAATTTCATCTGATGATGATTAGTTTGTTCTCAGGAGCAATTTTGAGTATTGTAATTGGAGATTCGGATCTCTTCTGTTATGTATCTTGCTTTTTATATTAGATTTTAGCTTGCATATACTAATTCTAAGTATGAAATATTTTGATTTCGTATTTGAATTTTGACTATTGATTTGATCATTCAAAGAATTAGATCATCATGACGAACCCAGGTTCGCGACAAACCTAGCGGTATAAAACAGAATGGGGAAGAAGATGAGGCAAAAGAGGATAAGACAGAAGGGGAAAGAAGATAGGGGCAAATAAGTAATTAAAGTTAAGTATTTTTAGTAACAGAATAATCTGTAAAATATTTATAATAGTAATTATGTAATTAAATGATTTTCAAGATTAAATTAGACAAAAAAAAATTTGGCCATGGATTCAAGTTGTACTAGGTGGATTTTTCACATAATTAAAAAAAAAATAAGTTTTTCCGTTAATTAACTTACCACATCAGCTAAAATTTAACGGAAGGACTAAAAAAAAGTCAAATTTCAAACAGTAAAGACTAAAAAAGAGAATTTTTCGGTAAAAGAAAAAAAAAAAGCTTTTTCTTATAGTAGAGGGACCAAAAAAATTATTTAACCTATTTCTTAAGAGTACATTCTTTGATAACCTCAATAAAATGACCCAGTTAAAAATTTGAAATTTCAATTTGGAGATGTCTAAGTTTGAATTTTAAGTGGAGTGAATTTAAGAATGGAGTGAATTTAAGAATAGAGGAAGGCTAACCCCTTTAATATAACCCATAATTAGATGTTAAAAAAAAAAAAAAAAGGTACATTGTTTGATAATCCAATACTAACGTCAACTATTACAAAAAAACGTTGCCAGGAAGGGGGCTTACATTACACATAAATGTCAACCTCTGAACTGCTGGTTTGCAGCAGCGAAGGGAAACGATTAAAGAACTTATTCCATCTTGAAACAAATTCATGAGAATGTTTATGGGAATAAATTTGCACATGTTCTGTGTTGATAAAGCTACAAATTGGAACAACATTCGTACCTCCAGCTATCGGGGAATGTTCCTTACCATCAAACTCTCACTGGCTTCTGTAAAACAACAGAAAGATAAGCTTCAGATTTGCCTGAATCTATCTTCTCCCCTACAACCCATTTTAGCTTCTTATAGCCAAATTTCTCTATCAAACGAGTCAAAAACCACTTCTTCTCATCATTAGCACAATAAAAGTTATCCAACCAAAACAAGCCGCCTGCCCTCAAAATTCGATCTATATCAAACATCAAGAATTCCAACCTCTCAGGTTTCCCTCCCATGTCCAATCCACCTGAGGCGTGAACTAGATCAAATACATTGTCATAGAAAGGAAACCTATGATCCAAACTCAAAAACAAAGGGAAAAGACCTCTTGCAGCAATGAACTCACTAAAGGGGGCATCAATATTCAAGGTGTTTGTGACCACAGTCACATTCCTCTCGGCCATCCTAGCAGCAAAGGTCCCAGACCCACCCCCAATATCAAACCCAATTCTAATTCCACCATTTCCCATGGCTAAGACATCATCAATAAGAAAATCATTTTTTCCTCTAGCCTTGACATATTTCTGAGCCTCATATCCGCTAACCAAATCAAAGCAACCAACACAATCTCTACTCAATTTCTTACCCTTCAAACATTCAAAAGTCTTGCAACCAAGACCACTCCAAGTAACACTCTTATTGCCAACAGGCTTCCAGAGAGACACAGGAAAAGGACTGAGACCAACCTTGGGAATATTCTTGGCAAAGCACCTCCTTCTGGGCAAAGGCTCGCATCCACGCAAAATCAGCTTCTGCCCAAGACTCCAATCATCAGAACAAGGCCCAGAAACCTTGTAGCTCATGTACTGAGACAACAAATCAGCAGATTTCCCACAGGAATGCCCCACAGATGCCACCATCTCAGTGATCCCAGTTCTTGAATCCTTCCCCAAAGGAAGCTGGTTGTGCTCAAGGAACAATTTAAGCTCCCTTGCAAGATTGGGTCTTGACAGATCAAGACTGTCATACCCAAGAAGCTCTTTTTCCATCTGGGCAGGCTTTCTTTGGGAAGAATCAACCTCTTTAAGGATCAAAGAGACTTGCTCAGAGATGAGAGAGATGCTCTTGCGGGGGTATTGGTTTAGGTGTTGCTCTGGGGAGTATGTGAAGGCGAACAGTGCAAAGAGATTGGTAGTAATCACAGAGAAAAGCATGAGAATGTTGACTGCTGAGGAGCAGAGTGATGCCCTCTTGAATCTTGTTGTTCCATCTCCAATTTTCAGTGAAACTGAACCCATCTTCCCTCTGTTTTCGGTGCTTCTCTAGAGTGTAAGGAGTGAAGTGGGGAGGAAGGGACAAAGATGGTCTTGATTGTTATGGCTGAGATATGTTGAAGCGGGGCAGGTGCAGGTGACACAAAGGCATAGATGCAATACGCCAATACCCCATTTAATGGTAAGATGACGTAAATCATTAATAAGTAGGTGGATTATAGATGGATCACTTAACGGAAAAAGGGTAAAAATTTATTTTTAATCCCTTATTTTAATAAATTTATAAGTTTTAACCTCTTATTTTATACTATAATACTTTTAACTCTTTAATTTAATGAATTTATAAGTTTTAACCACTTATATTATATTTTGACACTTTAGCCCATCACCTATATAAGTTGAAGAAAATAACCTTTATTTAAGGTCAGATTATAACATTCTATTAGTTTTATTAACTAACTATTAACTCTGTTAACTGACTGTTAGTTGACTGTTAGCATTCCATTATAAAAAACATAAAATTTAAATTCAATTTTATTTGTTAATTTCATTAACGAAATGCTAACAGAATGTTAATAATCAACTAACATAATTAACAGTCAACTAACAAAACTAACAGAATGTTATAATCTGACCTTAAATAAGGGTTATTTTCTTTAACTCATATAGGTGAGAATCTAAAAGTGCTATAGTATAAGGTGAGAAGCTAAAACTTACAAATTCATTAAGATAAAAAGTTAAAAATATTATAATATAAAATGAAGAATTAAAACTTACAAATTTATTAAGATAAATAGTTAAAAGTAGGTTTTATCCACGAAAAAAGAGTCAATCCACATTAAGTGAATGCATAAAGGTTCATTCCAGCAATAAGAAAATAAATAAATTTAAGGAGTTAAAATTCAGTTCATAAGGATTTATTCTTTGTTTAATAGTTGATTATTTAAAAAAGTTAAAGACAAAGTAATTTTTTATAAATTTTTTAATTTTTGTATGAATAACTTATTTTTTTATTGGATTGAAAAGAAATTAATTTGTGCAAATTAACTTGAAGACATTAATTGCTTAAAAAAACGTAATCTTTTGCGAAAGATTAAATTGTGATTAATACACTAGTATAGTACTAATAATTTGTTAATTAGAATTACAGTGAAAAGAACTTAATTTTTTTTAAAAAGATCTCAAATTTAAATTTTAAAAATAAAAAAATAAGTATTAAAAAAATTTCAATACAATTCAACTCTAAATTAACCAAAATTTAATATAATTTTTAAATACTAAAACATTAATAAAAAAAAAGTCCCACTGGCGCAGCGTTGTCGTTTGAACGGTGTTAATGAGAGCCGGCTTGTGTCGAATTCGTGGGGTCTTGGCTTCTATAGCCTTGCTTAAGCCTGATACAGGGAAATACAATTCTAGGCCAGTTATGGTATGGTTCCTCCCTGACCATCTTTCTTAAGCGCAAATTTAGACTCAGTTAAAATCCCATTACAAACTATAGGCCAGGTTTCGGCTAGACCAGGAAATCTCAACATTGGGTCTCATCAAGCCCACAAAAATCCGTGATAAAATTATAAATTGTAAAATTCATTACGGGGCCAGTTAAATCTAACGTTTCTGTTACTGCTTAATTTTTCTCGGGATCCAAACGGAAGACGAGAGAAAATTTTAGACATCATCATCATCTTGACCCGAATTTGTGATTTTGCAACGATGGGAGCATCGTCTTCGACTCCGTCGAAGGCAACAGCACAACAAAGGGAGGTGGAAAGCCTTGCAGCTTCCACTGGAGCTCTTCCTCTGCTCCAAAAATCCTTCGCAAAGCTCGCTGATCCTCAAACAAATATTGTTTCTATCCAGTCTCTGCAGGTACCTAATGACACTTGCAACCCTCAGTTGCAGTACCCATCAGTTAAATTTAGTTATTATGTCTTTGATTTGAATTTACTAAACTGCTAATTCAATGGTGTCAGCAATGCTTTGGTTTAAGCTGTAAAGGACCGATCTTTGAAGCATCTGGCATGCCAGATTATTTTCCACAGTTGTTGGATCATGTGGGTTCATCCATAGTAGATTTGTTTTTCGTGCCGGAAAAAGGAGGCATAAGTTGGGTTGAGTTTGTGAGAGGTTATGTTAAATTCTGTGGGAGGATGTCTGCATCCATGTCACTTAATACATTGTTCAGATTATTTGCTATGACAGTGAAAAAAGCAGGACTTCTTTTGAAATTGGAGTTTGAATCGGATGATGTTGATTGTAAGATAAATGGGTCTTTACGAGCCGTTGATGTGCTTGTTCTTCTATGGATATGTTGGACCATGGTGTGGAATACTACAACTTCAAAATTTGTAAAAAGAAAGGCAAATCTATTCCTGCCGGATATAAATCATTTGGTATTGTCAGCAGTGATATCCTGTGCTGATTTCGGCAGTGGCTTGGATCCATGGGAGTGCAACATCTCAAGCTTGGAAGCTGAACTTCCTGTTGGAAAGTTTCTCTCATGGACATTAACAACAGTGCCAAGCCTCACAGAATGCCTTACACAATTCGTCAACACAAGACTTCAAAACTTGGTGACTATGGAGGTGATGTATTGCACTTTGATTGGATAAACTGATTGGTTTTGTGTTTTGCTGTCACTCAAATTTCATCATCTCATCAGTTGGAATATGTGTGCTTCTTGCCAACTGGCACTTTTATTGTTTCTTCTTTTTTCTGAAATTTTAATCTTATGATTAATATGTAATGCCAGTTCATCTAGATTTAAGATACCTTTAGTTAGATGAAATTTCCTTGATAATTGCAGGATGAATCAGGACCTTCGGTTTCGCATTCAGAAGACATTTCTTCAAAGGCGTCTGATGCTTTACTTCTAACTCATGGCCGGGCCTGGGCAATTTCCCTTGCAGCCAAGAGCACAATAAGGGAAGAGGTTTTGAAAACATGCCTTGCTGTCGAAGGTGTTGTGATGGATGGAAATCTTCTTTATAGGTTAGTCATTTTTCTACTGATCATGTGCTTTCTAATGCTAACATCTAACATTGTCTGACACTGCCATTGGTGTAGTATAGAGGATAGAAAGCACATTCTTTGTGGTATTAGTATATTCCCATTTTTTGGATTTCACATGCTTGTGTCTTTCTTTTTCCCTTTGCTTTTCAGGTCATCTCTTCTTGGGAGAGGCTTGAACAGATTCTGGTCTAACATTGAAGGTTATCATGGTCCATTACTTCTTTTGGTTTCTGCTAGTTCTGAAGATGCCAATGAGGACGCTGGCAAGGTCAGGAGATGGATCATAGGTGCGCTTACACAGCAGGGTTTTGAAAATAGGGATACATTCTATGGAAGCTCAGGGAGCCTATTTGCTATAAGTCCAATCTTCCATGCATTTTCACCTTCAGGTATGATGTAACTAAGCATGAACAGAGGAAGGAAAGGATAGAGCCTAGAAGATTGTTAAGTAGTGTTTACTTTTTGTTTCCATTTATTTTCCTAGGTTGAAGATGATTCAGTTTTGTGATTTTTCTGTAAGTAATTTGTTGTAAAATCACTGACAGGGAGGGAGAAGAACTTTATGTACAGCCATTTACATCCTACTGGTAGAGTTTATGAACCAAACCCGAAGCCTGTAGGAATTGCATTTGGAGGAACCAGTGGGAATGAGAGAATATTTATTGATGAAGATTTTGCCAAAGTCACTGTTCGCCATCATGCAGTAGACAAAACTTACCAATCCGGTTCCCTTATCCCAAATCAGGTACTTAAATCTTATGGATGGGAAAATAATGTTAATAATACTTCAAATTTTCTTTCTTTTATAATTTTAGGAGGTTGTTTTTTTACTGAAAATAAAATAGAAGATCGATAATGTGGAGTTGGGAGTTTCTGTTGAATACACATGAGAGCCTCACATGTATAGCACTCAAAGATCCCTCTTTAGAGTCTTACTGGTTCACCTCCAAGTGTGAATTGGTTTATGGCAGGGATTTCTGCCAGTGGAAGCTTCTATATCTGAGGTAGAGGTTTGGGGACTGGGTGGCAGGACAGCCAAGGAAGTCCAAACTTCATATAAGAAGCGTGAACAACTTTTCACCGAGCAGAGACGCAAGGTAACCTATCAGTCTTGTATAAAACTAAGGCCTGTAGAACGCTGCAAGGAAACCTATATGTATACCACTTAAATTATGCGACTATATGCCCCATTTGCAGGTTGACCTGAAAACATTTGCAAGTTGGGATGACTCACCCGAGAAGATGATGAAGGACATGATGGCTGATCCCAATAGAGTTGAACGTGAAGACCGCTGAGAGATTGTATATTACACTGTCACACTCACTGTAGTACCAATTTGTTTAGCTAGTTTTGTATTGTTTTTGAGAAATAAAAGCCATGTTTTAGTGGTCCCAAGACTTTTGTAAGTAGTTTGAGGGAGATGGATTGATTAGGTTCATAGTTTTTCTACCGTGCGATATATTAGTTACATAGAATGTTAGTCAACATGGATTTCATCAATGAAGCTCGAACTTGAAATAAGTGTTCTTATTTTGAGTTTCAAATTGCCTTGGTGCTCATTCTTCCTGCCAAATTCTGTGTGTGAAAAGAAAGAATCTGTGCCGTGGTGTGGACTGTGGACATGGAACTCCCTAACTGTTTATTTATAAGTGCAAAAATGCATGTAAATTTTTGTTCAAATTCACATTGTCAAGCAAGCAACAGCTTTCTCTAATGACCAGAAACAGATCAATCAAAGCACTGAAACAAAGGGTCCTAAATCTGCCACCCATATAAATAGAGAATTCAACTGCTTTGACTTGACACCAGACTGCGAAATTTAGTAAATGCAGTCAGGCAGCAAGTGGGTCTAAAACTGTTTACAAATCTTGCAAGAATTCCATCATAGAATGAATCCAAGCAAAAGCTTAGATCACACAGAATACGTCACTGCTTCTTCTCTTCTGCTTTCCTTGGCTGCAAAAAGAAAAGGCAGTGCAGTGAAGAACATGGATATGTAAAGTTAGAGGTTAATGAGATCAAGTAGTAAAAACCATTTTAATCACAACTCTCTAAACATAGTTGTCCCCTTTTATCTCCCAGACTACACCTATCAGAAAAAGTAGACCGTGAATCTTTTCAACAGAAAACATTCATTAAACAGCCACAAGATGAACTAACAATCCAACTTCATAACCCAGTTTATGAAAGTCACCATTCATCTTCTAGTTATGATTTTGCCCCTCTTATCAATACAAGAAGATGGGAATGGAAAGGAAAGACACCAACCCTGCTTCTGCACTGGATTAGCACAACTATGACCAAATTAGACTCTCTTGATCACAATGCAGTCATGCACTAAAAGTCACATAAAAATCAATTTTGATGTCCATTTAGTGGGTGCCTGCAATTAACTCGTGATTGCTATCATCCTACCTAACTGTGAACAACCAATAAGCATAACGCTAATCATCTATCAAAACAAGATAGAAATATATAATTGAGAGAGCATAGCACTCTGTTAAGCCTTTTGATGTGATTTGAAGTTAGAAAGCAACAGCTTATTCTTGGATTATTCATATGCCACTGCAACCGAGAAAAACCTATCCGAATTGCTTTTGCATCAGTATCAATCCCTAAAACAAGGATGGATTTCTCATGATGAACAAAATAATATATGAGGGATGAGCGAAGCATAGGCATACTCTGCCATCTAGAACTTCCATACCCTTCCCAGTAAAGCAAAGTCATATACATACTGGGCATTTTTCTTTATAATTTCTTCAATTATCTTCATCTAAAGAATTCCTATATCACCTAGAAACAGCCAAAAAAACACTCATAGGCTAAATAGGGGGGAGACACCAAAAGGGGCAAAAGAAGCAAAATCAAGACAACCCCACAAATACTAGCAACTGGAACAAGTAGTACCGGAGAATGACAAGAATTAGAAAGAAAAACAAATTCAACCCACAAAAGGCGCAGTTAAAAAACGTACAAGCAACAACAATCACCCACGATAACTGTTCGACAAAATGCCACAACCATAAATCACAACAGAGAAAATGGAAACAACGCACAGGTTTACTAGACTGAGGAAGAAATGACAGACCTTGGTACCAGAAAACGGTTGGTGAAGCTCCTCCTCGGGGATGATAACGGGCCACTTCTCGCCAGCCTCACGAAACATTTGCTCGGTTTCAAGCATCTGACCCTTATCTAGGATCATGTTCCTTATGGCCTGAGCAGGAGTGGTTGTGGCATCGAAAACTTCTTCCACACCATTGACAAAAGTGACCGTGATCTTAGGCGGCTGATCGTCCGTTCGCCGCTTGACCTGGACTTGACATGCCGGGTTCGATTCTTTAGCTTTGCGAGCGTTGCATTGGGCTAAGAACTCCATGCACGATGCTAGACGTGGGTCCAGCGCATTGAACTCGATCCGTACCTTTGATAGGAACTTCAACATCTTCTCCCTCTCGCGAAGAAGCAGAGAAGCAGAGCTACGAACGCACTACAGTTGCAGGCAGTGTGAATCGTCTTAACTTTATTCTTCTTTTATTTTATTATTTATTTCATTGATGGGTGTTGAACATTTTATACTTTTACTTTTACACTTCTTAGTTTTGGGCATTTTCATTAACGCCCTTTCATGGCCAAAAAAATTTGATCTGGACATTCATATTTCGTTCGATATTTTAAACTTTTTTTTTTTTTATCCTTTTCTTCATATGAGATATGTCAACGCCATAATCAACTACAACATGGTATCTGTTTAGTAAAAGTCAAAATTTTTTAATTTGACTAATATTTATATGAATAAAGTGAGTAAAAGAATAAAAAAACTTAAAAATACCTATAAACAAAATATTAACATGCAAGATTGAACTCTTCTTATTCTTAACCTATCTATTAGAATTTAAACTTAAAACTTAAACGCATGGAGCATGCAAATATTTATCCGTTAAATTGAGGATTTGTATGATTATAGCGTAGACAGGGACTGTAATATTTCAAAAGGAAGAAAGACTTGAACAAATGTATTATAAGTTTTGTTTTATTATGAAATTATGATTTTCTTGGAAATGAACAATGAGTAATCCTCGTCAAGATGTAATAACATAGTAAACTCCGAGCATTTAATGAAGGAAAAATGGGGCAAAATCAAAATGGCCTCACAAGACAAAAATCCGCAATTGATTGTTAACAAGGCTAATGCCCATAATGTAAAGCTTAATAATTCATGCAAATATAAGAAGGGCAAAAAAGGGAAAAGGAAGAAATGAGTACTTAAATTCAACTATCTGCAGAACGACCAAACCAGAAAAGAAGTGGAGAGGCTTTGAGGCACCAAAGCCTTTCACAAGTGCTGGAGTGTATCTAGCTGCTAATCTCCCTATCCATTTTCATTCTCTTTGCATTTGGCACCTCCGGTATGCCATTGCCTCGTTGCTGGGATGATGCATCATGCTGGTATGCACAATTGGCTCCATTCCTGCACCCCCTTGAACTATTAAAGTAAATACACGGCTTCATTATTTTGGGCCTCAAATCTCTTGATTTCGGGTTATTTACTAATTCTTGGTTTGCTCCAGGTTGGTGATTATAACGGCCACCAAATTGCTGAGCACGTTCTTGTCTTTCTCCCCCATGTTGCTGAATCAAGTTCTTGTAATAGTTAACGTCCTTCGTCCGAGAAGGTACAACGGTGGGTGGAGATAATACTGGAGGAACACCAGGCACAGGAGCCCGAGCAATAGGAAGAGCTCCAACCCCAGCCCCATTAGGCTGAGTGTAAAAAGATCCACTTGAAGAAGAAGTTAATGAAGGTGCTGTGTTCTCCGTTCTATTGAAGTGGACAGGAGATGGATCTGATGAAGTTGCAGGAGCTTGGATGTTAGATGCAGGAACTGAAGGTAATGCCGACTTGAGAAAGTTCTGAGCACTGGATGCAGGACCATAATCCGTAATTAATTTCTCAATCAACTTCGGATCACCAAGAATTTTAATTAGCAAGTCATGGTCAATCATGTTCCCTTGTTCATTGCCTTTAGTAATTGCTGTAAAGGCAGCAGCTACTACACTGGACTCGACATTAAGGGCCATTCCAGTTGTTGGTTTCTCATTTGAAAAACCTGGCATGCTGCAATGAGGAGGTGAAATACCTGGAGCCAATAGCTGAGGAGGCTGTGAGCTTACAGAGACACCAAAGGGTGCAATGAAATTAGATGGTGTTTCTAATGCTGCATCCTCATCTTCAACGGGAGTGATGGGTATCAAAGCAGCTTGCTGATCATTGTGACACTCATTTTTAACGTCCGCTGAAACTGAAGGGCTGTACAACAACAGAATACTTCAGCTCAGGAAAACAAAGAACCCAAAAGGAAACATTTTCAATTAAAAAACAAGAGAAGAATCAAACTTTGGAGGTATTGCAGATGGGCGTGGATAAACTGCTTCAAGCATTCTCATTCCTCTCTGATTTTCAATTTCCACCTGTTTGCTTTCCTCTCCAGCAACCACTTGCCAATTTGCTTCAAGCAAAAACTGCAATAACCAGAATTCAGATTACACAAAAAGGCACAATTACTAACATAAAATGCCTGAAAAAGAAGTCTTCATATCTGTGACTCACTGTAGGAGGACATTTCCATTTAATAACAGGAATATCTGCCAACTTAATCTGAAGCCAAGTTGCAGAATTAGCTCCTTCAAAGCCAGGGGGCAAAACATCCTCCGTAGTTGCCCCAGTTGGATGTGACACCCATGAAGTCTTTGCTTGGAGGTGATCTTGAGCACCTGACCCAACTTGTGAAGGTGATTCCTCAGACAGGAAAAGCCTTACCTGTTGGTAGAAAAAGGCATTAGGAGGTTTAATCTGTAGATCACTTTCACAAGACATGAAATAACCTATAATCACTTTCACTGTTAGAAGGGGGGGGGGGAATAAATGAAAAACCTCCAACTTAAGAGGCTTGTTTAAACAGGGATGTTCTAAGACATTAATCCAACAATTTGCTTTATCATAAATGAAAAAATGCAAGCAAAACAAGCAGTGCATTTACAATTTGGTATGAAATCCTATCAGTTATTCCTTTATGAAAACATTACGACCAGTCAGGCAGTCAAGAAAAATTGGATTAAGATAAATACTGATTTCAAAGAATACTTTAGATCCCTTACCTCAATAAATTTGAGCTATTGCCAAGTTACAATTGGAAATTTCACCTTAGAAACTAATATGCAGGTTGAATCACCAGGAAATCAAAAAATTCACACAAAAATATGGGAGTGCAGAATTGCATAAACAGCCTAGCAACATAGCAGCACCAGACCAGAGGCCGAAAAGGAAAAGAAATTGATAAAGATAAAGAATGGTTCCTTGATCCTCAGAACTTGATATTTTAGGGTACCCCAGTAAAAGCTAAGTGCAGAAGGATACTCAATGAGAGGCTCTACAGGTAGTTCACTTAAGATTCTCTGCAGTGTCAACAAACATTGCCAACAATAGTAGCAGAACTTTGGAGGTTACGGACAAGACATCAATAATTAGTGAATCAGTCAGAGAACTGATAAGGTGCTGCAGCTGTTGTGAGAAGCCTCCACCTAATTCATTTCATTCTCAAATGTTGGGCAAGAAACTAGATAAAGATGCAGTCTAAAACAAAGCCAGATGTATCATGTGATAAGCACTGTAATGGGGAAACACCTTTGATAACTGGCTAACCAACCAAATACATCATTAAATTTGGTTTGAGACTTTCACATGGCTCAATAACCAGTCTATCATGACTAAGTTACATAATACCATAATGACACATTAACATGGAAACAACAATGTTTGTAGAACAAAAGAAATCATAAAAAATTTGATTCTTCTACCTTTGAACTGTTAAGCAGAAAGCATACGACATTTCCCTTTCTTACCTTCTTTTCTCCTACCTCTGCCTAAAAGGAGGAAAATTTTATATAATTTGGTTTTGTTTCTCTTCCCACCTTTCTTGCTTATTTATTTTATAAGGTGTATCAAAGAGAGTATAATGCATGCAAAGACATTTTATACCTGCTGATGCATGCAATAATAAAAGAAATTCTTGCATGAAAAAGGAAAATTACAGGATGCATTATATAGAACTAGTTCACCACAGAAATATTCAGAATAATCCATCAAAGTAACAACCAAAATATGGTAACATGCAGTAACACAAGATAAAAATTTTAAGTCAAGACTAAAAAACAACATCCCCCAATTCATGGCAACAAAATGAGGTTCATGACTTTTAAATTCCTTGACACATTTTTAAAAGGAAAATTTGATGGTCTGTTATTAATGCCCAAGCAACTGCCAGGAAAAAGTTCCTGAACTGATAATAATTAAATATTCTGCTCAAAAAATTTATCATGGAAAAGACATATAATGTTATTCATCCCCACAACAAAAAAAAAGAAAAAAAAAGAAACCATGAATAAGGCCTGGTAAAATTGGTGGCCTGACAGAAGCATGGTAAAAATACACCAGTTACTCCCAACGACACCAATACTGAAACTAGATTGATGTCAAAAGGAAAAAGAAGGATAATGTAACATGTAGCAAAATCACTTACTGAGTAAAGGGATAAAAGAAATATTACAAACCTTCGTCTCTAGAAAAATCCAAAACAACTATTAAAGAATAACTCCTTAAAGGTCATCATTATACATCAGCTAAACTCACAATTCACCAACATAAAACATTCTTTAGAAGACACCATTCCAAAAACAATAACTGGCTTCAGATGAAAAGGAAAAGAAAAACAACCAGAAAAAGCATGAGAACATCAAAACTATCATGTATAATTGTATAGGTTAGAAAAAAGCAACAGGAATAACATGAAGAGTTCCCAACTCATGCAATATAACATGAATTAGGTGAAAATGCATTCCGTTCAAACATAAGGAGACTCGGTCATATTATTATTTCTAGGGAGCCAGCCTTATTCACATATGAAGCAAATGTTTGAATTAACTTAAGGGCTCTCAATAGCTATCCAGCAATTCTAGAAACAGAAAACTTTGCTCAGTTTGTTTTCAGTAGCGAACTAGTCATTTGTCATTTCAATATACTACAACAAGAAAGGTCTCAGATTATTGTTAAAAGAAAGCATGCCAATAACAAGAAAATAATAACATTCTCAGTGTCCTACAGAAGCAAAATGAGTATTGACTCAGAATATCAAATGATAGCCGCCATTCACCTCAGAAAGGTTCAAACGAAATAAAGATACAGAACAACCCATCACAAAAAAGGGTTCATAAAGCTTCAATTTCAACTCATTGGTCCATCAAATTTATGTTTCAATTTTTCCCCCCCTCATTTTTACCTGAAATGAAGCAAAAAATTTAGCAAAAATTCATAAAAGACTCCAACTTTTTACCTGACAAAGGTTAACATCTGATGCCCAAGAAACCCTTTTCGATTTGTTCGATCCTCGCATATTTACAGATCAAAAAAACATGTATCACTCAAAAATCCTTGTTTTCCAGCTTCGATTCTCAGTAAATCTTAAATTACAAGTCTCAAATTCAACGATTTCAGGTTTCAATCGAGTAAAACCTAGGTACACCAATACAGTATGTCAACGTCCCTAGCCTCGCGGCCTTTCAATCAACTTCCCCATCCCCCCTAACTGTATGAAATTTGTACCTTCCCCAGCGAAGACAAAGAAAGAGATGATCGATATACACCTAGAGATAAACTTATAACTCTATCCATAAATGGTTGCAGAGAGATCCAAGGTAACCCTAGATCCTCTGGTTTTGCTTCCGCCGTTTCAAATCCTCTCTTCGGGGACCCTTCTTTTTCTTTCTTTAAAGTAATTTTTTTTCCTTTTCTTTCTACTATTTTTTCTGTAGTAGCTCTGGGTTCCTGTGAGTGGGCGTTGGCTCACGCTTTGGGCGACGCGTGGAGGTCGAACGTATATTAGAGTTTGGAAAAAATGATAAAAGTACAATGGTTTTTTACTAACTTAAAATTAATTCAAAATTAATGTTCAAGACCAAACTTTATGTAGTCAGTCAACTAAACTCTTGATTTATCTAAAAAATACACTATGCTTTTATTTTATACAAAACCATTAGAAAAAAATATTGTAGGTATAGCTTGTCTTTTAATCTTA